TAGCACTCGCCATGTTATGAAAAGAGATACATGTATGACAAGAAAAACGTAAACAAAAACGTGCTTTAAAACTTTCTATGAAAACCTGAAATTTCAAAATCTGAAAAGACAATTTGATTGATTTACGGAACCAACAAATACGAGGGCAACACATTAAGCACTGCACTAGTACACTGGAAGTAGAGGGTCGTTCTACACCATGACCATGTCAACTTTAGTTGGAACGAGTCTAGGACCAATTAGTAAAATTATTTCAGTGTTATCACACAGCCTTAACTTAATACTTATCGATCAAATTAATTAGCTTACTTTGTGATTGAATCCGTAACAGGTACTCTGGCATGTAAGTGAACTCAATGCTGGGTTAAACATCAAAATAATTAAAGTCCAGCCGAAACTCGTGATGCTTGTCATACTTCACAACACTCTAAACACAATATCCTATTAATATCACTTTCACTCATCATTATTAGCCAAACAAGTTATCTAGTTGTTTTAACGTTACTGCCTGAACTAAGATCTATCTACATACAGTTTACGTTAGAGTCCACAGTTACATCAGATAACACTGTCATGTGAGATAGTGTAATGACATGTGCATCATATAATTGTTTTTAGATTTTAGTGGACAAAACCTGTCTGCATCACACTTTTCATAAAACAAAACATAATCCGTTAAAACCAAGGCCCCTGATTCCCGTAGGATAATTGGCGAAACTTAGAAGGACGAAACAGATGTATGATGCTATTGATCTAATTCTAAATTTATATTCAAAGGTGCTGTTGAACTTCGTATCTTTCGTAAAACTTTATAGACATGTAGTTCATATAAGAAAGTGTTATGACTAGAAAACTGAAGTTATATATGTTTTTAATAAGCTGTATTATATAGTGCACCAATTAAGGTCATATTTGATTTGTAAACATTTGAGATGGCGTGTCGAAAGTTTCGTGGGTGCTAAAACATAAAAACACGCCGTGTGTACACCAGGAATTCTCTGACATCCAAGTAGAAGTAGCAATAGTAATGTCTTTTCTGCGACAGGAATGAAAAGGTATGTTAATTTTACATACATAGCATCATGCTTAAAAGGCATTGACGAAAATTAAGACTTGGGGAGCTAGCTTAGATGAAGGAAAGTTCTTAAAAGTCGTCATTACATTATGGTTTTGGCTGATTTGTTAATGTTCATGAAAGGCCTTGTCTAGGCGCCACTTTGTGCAATTTACAACTTCGGTTTGAAACGTCCATAGTGTTTTTGTTGTAATGCCTTAGATGTCTATATAAAAGAGGTGTAAGGGAGGCTACACAATAAGATGTTGTGCATGTTACCATATCTTTTTGTGTACATAGTTGTATTACATTAAAGAGAGGACAAATGATATCATTAACTATTTTCCTATTATATTTTATTGAATTATGGGAATAGTGCACCTTCGCATTGAAATTTTGACATTTCTTTCGATCACGGTATTTTCCACAGCTCCCTCTGTAATTTCAAAATTTAGGCTCGAGCATCACTGACGAGTCCTACTATTGTATCAAAGTCCTATAGAGGTCCGTCCAGGGACGAACAACGACGTCATATAACAGGGGAGAACAGGGAAAACACTGAATTCCTAGAGGAGGTCTGTACATGGACGAACACTGAAGTCGTACAGCAGGTCCTTACAAAGTCGGTAGAACAGGACCGTACACGGAAGAACAATGAGGTAGTAGAACAGGATTGTACAGAGACAAACAATGAGTCTCTAAACAATGAGGTCTAAACAAGGACAAACACCGAAGTCCTAGATGAGGTCTATACAAGAACATACACTGACGTCCTAGATGAGGTCCGTACAGAGGCGAACACTGAGGTCGTAGAACAGATCATTAGAGGGCGTACACCGAAATCCTAGATTGGGTTCATACATGGACGTACCCTGAAGCCCCATAACAGATCCGTACAAGGATATACACTGAAGTCCTAGATGAGGTTCGTACAGGGACGTACCCTGAAGTCCCAGAACATTTCCGTACAAGGACATATACTGAAATCCTAGATGAGGTCGGTACCCAGAAGTCCCAGAACATTTCCGTACAAGGACATATACTGAAATCCGAGATGAGGTCCGTAAAGGGACGTACCCTGAAGTCCCAGAACTGGTCAATACAAGTACATACACTTAAGTCCTAGAGGAGGTCAGTACAGGGACGTACCCTGAAGTCCAAGAACATTTTCGTACAAGGATATACACTGAAGTCCTAGAGGAGGTCCGTACAAGGACATACACTGAAGTCCTAGATGAGGTTCATACAGGGACGTACCATGAAGTCCCAGAACAGGTCCGTACAAGGACATACACTGAAGTCCTATATGAGGTCCGTACAGGGACGTACCCTGAAGTCCAAGATGAGGTTCATACAGGGACGTACCCTGAAGTCCCAGACCATTTCCGTACAAGGACATACACTGAAGTCCTATATGAGGTCCGTACAGGGACGTACCCTGAAGTCCTAGATGAGGTTCATACAGGGACGTACCCTGAAGTCCCAGACCATTTCCGTACAAGGACATACACTGAAGTCCTAAAGGAGGTCCGTACAAGGGCCTACCCTGAAGTTCTAGAACAGGGCCATACAAGGACGATTACTGACGTCCAAGAAGGACAAAACAGCTGTATTGTGCAGCTTAATGTAATACTAATATATATATATATATTATAGTAAGTGTGTGGAAGTGTTTTCGCCGTTTTATCTTTTGTACATTTGCAAATTTGCAATTACATATCTACAGAGGACCTCTACAGCTAGGCTAGTATCTCTTCAGACCAAATGTAATCAAATCAACATGCCGTGTTTACATGTAAAGGTGAATATAACACCTTACGAAAACATAACCCTGCACAATAGCTTTCATAGATTAATTATATCCGTGTAGTACTCTTCAATGAGTCAAAATGTACCGGGTATTTAATTTTTTCTTTTCAATATTTACTTATTGCCTCAAAAATAAATGCCACGCCATCGTAATTAATTGTAAATATTTACACTATTCATTAAACGACATCGTGAGATCGTATACATGGACTTAATATCTAGTCTATACTGGCCCAAATTGGTTCTATCATTCGTCGGAGTGGTATTGCAACGTATCGCTGATTTTAAATCATATCATGTGTTCTTTTTTAGCTCCTTGATTAACATAATACAATTTAAAATCTCCTACTGACACCAATCCACTTTAAAACAAATGTCTTTTGTTCCAGTACTGCTTATATCTGATTACATGCAGGGCATGTCTACAGCAATTTAATCTAAGTGGCATTAGGTACTAGAATTAAATGTAGTAGACCATACAAATTGTTCCATTTATATTTTTTCGTCCATTTGTTTAACTGATATTCTACCTAGAAAGACGACTGTCGCTGATGAGACCAATACTGTTACTACAAATAAGGGTTTTGTTAACGAGATATAGGACTGGAATGTACCTGTAAAGTCATCAGGTAAGGGGTTACATTGCTATACTCAATTTCTACCTTTCTTCCTTTAAACCAGTTTCTACTGGTTCAACTCAATTTACAGAAGTACACTTAGCTTTATAAAACAGTCTTCATGCGACTCGTGCTGTTTCGAGGATGAAATCCAAAACAAACAAATGAACAGTAGGATATATACGATACGTCTATCTCTCTGATGCATTTAGATATTTAGTTATTCCAATGGTTTTAATAAGAAAGTATTTTTTCAGTTTCTGACATGAACGATTCTCAATAATATATATATATATATATATACATATTTATACATGTATATATAACATAGGTATGTTGTGGATTTATATCCACGCAAGAGGAAAAGTTTAGAACAAACGTTACAGTGATTTACTGTAAGTTTTGGCATCCACTGGGAAATACGATGCCAACTGGTCACGTTTCAATCATTCAATGTACAGTAATATGATATGGATATCAGCTGAGGTCAATACTTGTTATAAATTGATTAAATGTGGTACATACAGATATTGACCTTCATTATCTAAGTTACCAGTGAAAAACTGATCTGCTGGCACATGTCAGTCGTATCGTTTAAGCTGATATTACTAATTTTAAATTGCATTCAACTTTTTGTTTTAACACGGTCAATGATAAAACTGTCCGTCAACGAGATGGTCGTGTTCACGACAGACAACAACATACCGATGTTATCTGGCTTCTCAAGGGCCAATATCTCGTCCAAAGCGCCTATACACACGCATATAGTTTGGACGTTCGTGTATCATGTAAACACTCGATTGAGCAAAGTCTCTTTATGTGATCATGCATTAACATCAAATAAATCTGGGGAGTTTGTATCAGCAATATAAAATCATGCTTAGATATATTTCAATGTGTATTTTTTCAGTTGTTATTTTTTTTCCTTCTTTGATATATAACACTTATTATTAACCACAACTGATCGATATTATAGTGTGGTTTAGAACAAAAATCGAAAACAGACGGAATTTGTCGATCAGATATTAAAATATGCTTTAGAAAAAACACTTTTCATATTTTAATGAATATTTGTTAATGTACCGTAAAATTGTATCCCGTGTTTAAACCTGCGAATTACGTCCCTTCTATATCTAACTCCATTAAAGATACTTTTTCTAACAAAGTGCCAGTTTAATAACATGACATGAAGGGATTTACATATTCAAGGACACAATTAATAAAATATTGAAATTAGTATGGTAAGTATATCATGATTTAAGAAGTTGTAAGAGTCGTCCTGTTTACTTCTTAATTTCACACTTTTTCATGTTGTTCACATTTTGTTTTATGGAATTTGAGTTTGGATTATTGTTCTGTTATGTTGACATTTTTTGTGTTGTTTTTATGCAATGACGATTTTGCATATTAAAACATAATAGCTTACATCCCAGCCGTATGTTTTATGCTGTCGTGATGTAATGGCATTTCTTCCCTAGATTGATTGATAACAATTCTCATTACAGGAAACCTTTCCCAGAATGACGACGAAACAGCCGTCACCCGTGTCGCGACAGTCGACAGCGTCGTCGAAGCAGTCCTTCGACACACGCAAATCCATAGTATCTGTCAGTGGTATTAATATGGAGACAGGTTCTCTGGCAACACTTCCAGCGTCTGTTGAGAGTCCGGAACCACTGATAGAAGAATACAATCCAATGCTGAATGGAGTAAAGAAACAAGTAAGTGCTCAGGAATCATAAACTTCCATAACGTATTTATTGTCTAATATTGCATAACTACACAAATAACGAATAAAATATAAAACAAAAAACAAGCAAACAAACAAACACGATAAAAAAAAAGCTGAAAAATTCGTTCAGTATTCAAATCGGCTCTGTTTTCTTTTTTTATAACTACAATGAGTCATGATGCTGAAACATACCACAGTAATAATTGAGCGTGCTTTACCTTCAGCTTCTGACTGCTGCCAGGAAGTGTGATACCAACACCTTTGTTACCTTGTTAGGAGAATGGCAGAACTTAAACCTCAACTTTGCGGACGACGTATGTTGCTGTTATCCTTCTTAAGTTTGTTGAACTAATTCAAAAATATTTTCACGTGGATAACTTACTTTTTTATGGCGATACGGAATGGATTTACCTGAATAATTATTGTTTTTGAATTAAATCAATGTAGTTTTTCGCATTTCTGGTAGAATGTACACATATGTGTTTCAGTGAGCATGGCCTATTAAACACCTAGATGTGAAATTATCTACAACAAAAGCCGTTCCTCCGGCTTCAATGTTATAATCACATTGTTCATTGTTCTGTGACATATATCGTGTTAAAAGAAAAAAAACGAAAACTGATGGGATAATGAAACAAATACCAAAGAGATGATAATTGTAAGATTTTAAAAAACGACACTAAGAAGAATATTGATTGACGACATATCTGGTTTCATTCGCAAAAGTAACCATTAATGAAAGCGTCCTTTTTTACATGTCAGAGAATTCAGTTTTCCGCAAAGTGCACAAGAATAATTTGTTGTATATGTTTGTGAAAATTTAGACCAGCTTGAACAAACTATAAATAATGAATTTGTTGACATGTTTTAAGGTAATACCCATCGAGGTATGCTTAAGTAAACGATTGCACAAGTAAACTTTAAAATCATTTCTAATGATGATAATTTGTCACAAATGTTTTCAGTCTGGAAAAACACTGCTACATCTTTGTACAAACGTTGGTAACAAAAATGACGTCATTTTGTCACTGCGAAGAAACTGTCCTGTCAATAGAATAGATAACGTAAGTATGATATTATTTTACGTACTCGTCAAAATGTACTTATGACTGTACATAGTATTACAGTCAAATGATAATTATTGTATAACCTTGTTATTAATGGACACAAAGTATGGCGGAAGTAACCAAGCTTGACATTATCAAACGAGCATATGAACAAGAAGCACATTAAAACAAATGGAACGAGAGGCGATTTCTGTCTACTTGGCATATCTTCATACTGGCGACGTGAATGATTTTTACATAAAAAATTTGGTTTATAACCATGATAGTTTCAGCACATATCTTTAATCTTGTTCTTAATTGGGAATTTGCTTTGCTAACTTAGATTTTCCAGTATTTATAAGGAAGAAACCATGGTCTTGTTCTCCTTGTACTTTTTCAAATGTTTCCGTGTTAATCGATCATTTATGGTTTATCGTATTCTGTCGCTTTTAAATTAATGTTATGTTGTTATGTCCTTGCTCTCTTTGTTGATGTAAAGCTTAAACAGTAACTAAAAATTCATATCTTTAAATATCTGATTTTGGCTTTAAAATTCATCTTTTTTAACACCGATTGACAGTAACATATTCATAAAGTAGCTGACCACATAAGATTATAGTTCCTATAACTGCGTTATAAAAACAGAAACAAAATCTATCGACGTTGCTGAATAGTTCTTCAATTATAAGATTAAGTTAATATTTCACCCTAATAACGACACATTAGTAATCATTGGTTTTTTTTATCGCTATATCTAGATGGGACATTCTGCTCTACACTATGCAGCAAAGAAGGATTACGCAGACATTGCAGAGCTGCTGATCGTCAATGGTGCACACTTCGATTTACCTGAAGAGGTCAAGATTGTTTTATTTATGTTCTATAAAACAGGTCGAAATATTAAAGCGATGAATTTTCATCAATCAAATCTGACCCACAAACAAAACAAATCATAGTTTGTTCTACCATATTCATCATACTGTAAAAAATCATCTTGCTATATCCGGTAGGATATGTTATATAGTATTATCTAAAAGATTTAATTATAACGTACATAATTTGCGAATAGGCACGACGATAAATTCGCGTATTCGCAATAACTATTATCTCAACAACACAGAGAAACAGCAACCACCTCTATTATGTTTTTGCACAATCTCCTGAGAGCAAAAATGCTAAAATAATAAAACCATTAAAATATATACGTCTACATTATATCTAGGTTATGTACGGTATTATCTTATCGATTTTAAATCTTAAATTCGTTTAAAAGGACAAAAATGTCTATTACATTGGTGAACATGAGATGTTTATCAACAAAAAATTTTTTTTCATTATTTTCAGAAAACCGGACAAACGGCTTTACATTTTGCTGTTGCAAAAAACTACTTGGCTACAACAGAATTACTTGTATTTAGTGGCGCCAGTATACAAATCAAAGACAAGGTGAGCTTCACTGATTACACAAGTTTGATACAAGTATTGTTTCGGTATGCAATTTGCTGAAATATCTGTCGTCAATTCAGATATTCCTAGTGCAGACATCTATATTATTGGACATGGACAGTTTCTAATTGACATTTTCTTTAAACGAGTTTTGGTCAAATGCTTTTGTTAAACTTTGAGTGAATATATTGAAATGCACGATCGTAAGATACAAATCCTATAGGTAGTTAGAAAATAGATTTTCTGCACTTTATGTGCTGGCAGTTCCGATTTCAGTCCTTTAAGTATCCCCGAAAATCCTTGAAATACGAAATACCCGTGTGATGCAGTTTAATTCATTATTTCGCATATCATCTATACCAACAAGAACTTACCAACATAGAATATAATCAAAATCCAAACTCAAGTTCAATAAAACTAGGGGAAAATATTAACAAAATTCATATTTATTTACGCGGAGATTCCAGCAAAAAATTTCAAGGGGAATAAGACCAAGTCTTACGAAAGAGTAATCATCTTATCCTTTATCGACGACACCCACTGTGTAAAGATTAGAAAGGTGTTTTTCGCTTGCGTGTCTATTCAACATTATATAGCACGTCATTTACGTTAATTGCTGTTTTATTTGTGATATTTGTATGGAATTGTGTACTGTTGGGAGTATATCAGTATGTTGTTAGAGTTAAATGTCTGTACAAATGTCATTATATTATCAAAGTCAGTGAGGATCGTGTTTACACGTATCCTTCGGTATTCAGCACATATAAGACACCTCGTTTCCACACAATTATAGTAAAGAAATATGTCCCTGTGTTACAACTCTACATTGGGTTTGGAGATAATTTTTAATTTTGAAGAAAAAACGAACAGAAATGCCTCGTAAGTGTATTTAATTACTAATGAGACTATGCGTTTTATTCTCTGAGTATGTAATAAACATTGACACAGAGGGAGTCCTTTAGAAATATTGTATCGTAGTCATCTAATATGCAGGAATTCCCATAATATCTAGGATAATTCATAGAGCAATGAAGCAACATATCCAACTTCCACAGTGAACAAATATAGTATGTATTTTTAATCACGTAGCATATTTCTGATTAACTTCAATGATATAGCAATCAAAACAGACAAAGAAACAATACAAACGAGTATTTGTTGTCTGTGATGGACAGAAAAGGATTTCCAAAGATACATTATGCGTTAGTCCTTTTGTCCATAGTCACGAACACTGAACATATACAGCCAAACGTGGCAGAATCTATACATTTTACAAGTACACATATAACAAATATATGACCGTGATAGTAAAGAATAGAAATAATTCAACATTGTTTGAGTTGTGTAAAAATAGATTTTTATACCAACTGGTCGTAGAGTTTAGTATATAAAGGGTCGGGGTGAAAGTCGTTGATATGGCGGAGCCACAGTACATATACTACCTGCCAAACAGAGGATTAGGTATTTATTCTGATGACCAGGAGTCCATTACCTTTGATGAAGAGGATGTGACTCCTATAATTTCACTGCCAGATAAAGATGTAAGCAACATTTTCCATCTTAGTTGTTAACTGTCCTATTTTGACCAATGTTTCCAAAGTTAAGTGATAAAATACCCGTTCGCTGTACCATTATCTACTTCAAGGATTTCGATGTCTCAATGATTGCGATTTGTGGTTCAGGAAACAGTTGCTGCATTTTATAAACACCTAAATTCACCTCGTGACGTCATCTTTGTGTCTATCTGTGATTAGATCCTTCTGTCGTCTACAGAATGTGTTTTAATGTCTCCTGTGTTTCAGACATTATCTGTTAACTTAATTTTTTGTGTTGTCTACGATAAATGTTTCCATTTTGCCATCTCTAGGATGTTTTTCTCCCAGAAGTTTCATGATATTACATGTGTGTTCATATTTAGTATTTCGATTACTACATATTATCAGTTTGATGCTCGTTAGTATACGTTTTAGTTCCATTGTTTTATAATTTGGGAGCTAGCATTACTTACTTCGATTTACCAGAACTTGCATGGGAATATTTTTATTGAAGCAAAAGACGTTTACAGACGCTTACTCTTTTGGAACTCCTTGTTTTATTTTCCTTGTACCTTAAGTAACTCTTTTGTTTTCATTTATATTTTGCCTTTGTTCCATCAAATGTGATTCTGTTGACATATCGGTATTTTTTTCTTGGTTTTTGCCAAATAAACACCATCATGGTTTCTTATGTGTACTTTATAATAAAGTTTCATCAAGTAACGTAAGAGAGAGAGAGAGAGAGAGAGAGAGAGAGAGAGAGAGAGAGAGAGAGAGAGAGAGTTTCAACTGGTCAGTGCAGTAGTGTGTAAATAACGTTCGACGTGTTTTCTATTTTAGAACAATAGAACCCCTTTAGCACTATGCCGGTCAAAAGAGATGTACGCGCTGCTGTCTACAGCACTTCAGTCTTCCGGAGGCTACCGACCAGGGTAAGAAGTTGTAGTATTCTATATGATACGAACAATCCTCCAAACGTTCCAGTATTCAAACTAGGATGCGTAGAAAAAAGATATATTGAATGTAACATTTACAACTTAACTTAAAAATACCTTGTTAAAAATGGAATAACACCCATGACATCTTGCGTGTTGTGTGATAGGCTTAAAGTTACAATTTTTAAAGGTTGCGAAGCTATAGATCCATGGTGTCTACACATTGTGATGTTACCAAAGAAAGAGCTGTGGAGTGAGACATCGCCAGTTTAGATTTTATTTTGGTCTGATAAAATGTTGTTATCACAAAAGCTTTCAAAACGTTATGTGATAGATAGAAGTTTACATTAAATTTTATATGAGATTTACGAAACTCGTCTCGAATTAATTATATAATCCCACCAGTGATTCGGTAAAATGAGAAATTCTATTACTCATTTTGTAAATCTCATATAATGAAAACTCTTGTTGTCACTTTTACACTATCATGTGTTATTATGTGGTCATAATAAATCATGTATTGTCACTCTTTCCTAACCAGTAATAGACAAAAACATTTCTCCATAAACACACTACTGAAATACCTCTGTATCATATTTATTGGTACATATAATAAATGTTTGAATAACTTACATGTCGGAAAATTGAAATTGCGGATCATTTAGCTTCGAATAATCAGAGTCATACTGTGTTCGGATACTCGGAGTCCTACTACGAGTGCTTCTTGTTTTGTATGTCACTATTCTGTTTGTATCGTGTACAGAGAAATGACGATGCAGACAGTTGAAGTACAAGGTGGCGGTATAACGGAATGTTGGAAACTTGGCCTCACTATCGACTACAGTTCAGGACCAGCAGACGACAAGTTCTCGCTGATGTGTCGACGTCAGACCACAGACGAAAGTGATTTAGGATTTGAGTTTGAAAATAACGAAGATATATGCAGCGATGCTTTCCAGTACAGACTCGGAAGAACGGGAAAACCAACTCTTGTTAGACTAACAGTTCCTATTTACTCGGGACCCAAAGCTAAGGAGGAAATAGTGCTCAGAACAGAGAAAGGTCATGTGATGTCCATTGCTTCCCTTAATAAAGTCGAGAGTGATGTGAGTATATACTAATTCTACGTTGTTATAACACTATATATATATATATATATATATATATATATATATATATATATATATATAATCAGGATATGAATACAATTCTATTGGTCCATTGATAACGTACATAAAAACAGGAAAGCCCTGCCATCAGAAACGTGATAAATGCTTATCTGTACTTCAGTCACATGGTACATATTGAAAAACCTGGAAAACATCTTTTCGACTTTTTTTTCAATTTATTTCAAGCCATTTCATAATGGTTCATTTTTTTTTTTATTGTTTTTCTTATTCACTAATAAAGAAAGCCAATACAATTAAAGAGTGCAGTGGTAATATGCCTATTTGAGTGAATCCCATATCGGGTAAGAAGCCCGCTTGCAGTTCAGAGCTATCACCAAATGCATCTTTTTATAAGCCCACTGTCTGAGCTTGCCCAATATCATGATGGACAATACATGTACAATATATATATTGGTTCGATATTGACTTGTTTTCTTTGTGATTACTATTTATAGACTCCCTACTGTGTAATAATGGTGGACATTTCCCAGTTTAGCTCCTTTGTCCTGGTGTGTAGGCCCAAGACTGACCTGTTTAAGGTGCCAACAGAAGGTGGAACATTTACCTCCAAAGTCAACCCTATGATGGAGGTTAAAGTTCAACCAAACACTTACTCACGTGACGTAAAATTAGTGTTACAGGTAAATGAATTCGTTTTTGTCTCAGAGATAATGATAATATCAGTCAGTGTATACATAAATTGTCTGTTCTCTATGTCTACCATATCAATCATACATATTTTCGATCAATTTTTAAAGATGACAATTATCAATGAATATTTCTAATGTTCCTGCTAAGTTGGCTGTTACATGTATAGCTATCATTAATGCTAGGATATTTCGTCGGATTTTTGTAGACTGTATCAATCCCTAATCCCGGTGTTATTGGTTCGGAAGGGGTAAACGATATCGTATCAATGACGTCATTCAACTGCTTGAAAACAGAGACTCGTGAAAACCCCAAAAACCCACTACTGCTTCGTCTACCGTGCGGTGGTAAAAATCTAAAACTGTTTTCTGCTGACACCGTTGCCACAGCATCTATTACTGACAGTGGCTGGAGTGCTAGGGATGACCCAGTAAATGTCACACCTGAAGGGGTCGACATAAGCATCAGCGACAGTGCGATGTAAGTATAATATTACGGTCAATATATTGCTATTTAACTGATAAATTGTTTACAAAAGTTAAAAAAAAAAAAAACCAGTCAAACCTGTCTCATAGACTTAATTTATACAAAGTACAAATGTCTGTAAAGGGGAGCAGGGAAACGTAGCTTTAGACACAAAAGTCCTTTATTTAGAGGTGAATTGCTATAAATTGCATTACAAAACGTGGCCTTAGTATAATGATTTAATGTTTTCTGCATTTGTTAATAACTTTTCCATTTTAATTGAAGAAGTAATTAATTCAAAGAAGTAAATTCTTATTTTTTTCCATCTATAGAAGAATTCTTAATTTACAGGAAGGTAATTGTGGAAGTCAAACCAGGAACAGATATGGTGAAATTAAAACCTCAAATTGGTCTCGTGTTTCAAAAATCTACACATCATGAATATTCTATTGTGTTCATAGTTTTAACAAAACATGACAAGAAAAATAACACTTTCAAAACAGTAGTTGAGTGCAATACTGAAGCATCAAGTGAACAAGCAAAGAAAAAATGGATAAGTGATGGTTTCATCGACCAAAGGCCAGGTGATAGTCTTTGTTTTAAAGGTTCAACGAGACAACGATTCAAAATTATTGCGTCCAAAAATCTAAGACCACAAGGAGCAGAAGACGGTTTCATGATTATTCAGTTCCATCCGAAACGAGGCAACTTTGCAGTGTTTACAGCAAGCGTGAAGAACAATATTAAAAACGAGAGTGGAAGTGTTCGAATATTTGAGTACAAAATTGTGAAGAAGACCGCGGAACAACTGGAAGCAGAGGGCCCAGGAAAACCATTAGAGACTCTACTCACGAACGTTCATGTCGCTTTTGATAAATCAGAAAAGGATACATCGGCTTCTGCCGTACCATTAATACAGGTACAGGAACCTACTGACGTCGAGAAAAAAGAGCCAAAACCTATAGCGGTAACGGCTGATCCTCCAAAATCACCGCAAGCTCCTAAGGCTTCCCCAGCGACTAAAACACCAGTAGCCGCATCGAAACCAGTCAAATACCAGGGCGGGAAAGGAAGCGAGAAAGGTAAAGTTTAATATCAGGAGTTCTTTTTATACAAGACTGTACTAAAGACACAGTGGTGAATAGCACCTTCTAAATAATTAATTAAACTATGACATACAGCCGTTTCGTCCTTCTATGACTCGCCATTGATGGCAAGAGTATAACTTATGAAGCCAATAAGGCGACTGGGGAAATTCTAAGTGATCGAAAGAAAAGCCAAAACCTACCAACGTATAGAACACTAGTTCCATAATTCAATCAATCTCGTTCATATATCTGATAATTTAAGTGAATTAAAGCGTGACTTGCAGGTTACATTTGTAATATGGTTTGTTTCCAGTTTTCACAAATGACGAGTTTCTGTACACGGTAGTTAAGGAACTGGACGAGGAGTGGTACAAAATCGCAGTGATGATGGGATGGAATTTTCCAGAAGTAGAGAAAGTACTTCTTGAACCTAATGGTACTGAACAAGACAAGATCATGCATGTAAGTTGCTTCGACTCTTTACACTCCTTATTTGTTTACAAAAATAGAATTCTTTTTAAGGCCAAGACATAACTGGTTTTAAAATCAGTCACTTTACCTTGGAAAAAACGTTTCTTGCTTTACACAAATAAGTATACATCTTTATTGGTATTTTCCATATACGTGTATATCTAATTATTTCATTCTTTGATGCTGATATAATGAACGCAATTAGCTATTCTCTAGACCTATTCCGATTATTTTTTTCGATAGTTTTTCAAAGAATGGCAGGAAAATGGCCGCTCGCGCGATGATCTTGGATTGCCTGTCCTGTTGACGGCCTTAGCCAAGGGAGGTCGTCGTGATCTTTGTACAGTCGTGTCTCTTATGATGAAAGAATGGTAAAGTATGCTTCTTTACAGAATTAATACACTTGCTAGTAGGTGATTTATATTACACTTCGAAAAATGTATTATACTGAAAACGTACTTATTTCGGCGCAATCACAAATAAGGGCAAAGATGAATTCGCGCCATCGCAATAATTCCTATATAAACGACATACAGAAAATGCAATTAGCGTTATTCCTATTTTCATATTAACCGTGTATAAAGTTCTATAACAGGATTACCGCTAAAGCATGTACGTTTACCGTATTATTCTGCCGTGTAAAGACGGCAACATCAGTAAAGTTCATAATGAACACTGTCAACCAACTCCTGTTGATGAATGGTATATCATCCTGTACAGACTGTTTCCCTCTAAATGATATAAACTACCTCCTAATGGTTATTGCTGTCTTGTAAAGAATGGAAATTGACAATCATGTCAAGTGTTTTATGGTATCGTAGAATATGACCTACAATGTTCAGAAAACCTTGATAATAGAACATTTTAACTCTCTGCGAGAAGGTTGTCCGTAGGTTTACGATGACACTGACTCAAAGATCATCCCAACAAATTATATATCTAAAATTGTATTTGTTTTCTAAATAAAGTTTATTGCTTAAGTCTATTTTATCCCTTCACAGGTTCGATCAGCATAGCAATCAGAAATCCAACTTTTGGAAATGGGTTCAGATGGCCTTCAAAGATCCTGACCTTATCAACCCTGGAGGTAAATACAACTTATATCATTTTCATCAAACTATGGTGTTTTACTCCAAGGCAATAGATTACAGTACATAAATATTCGGAACATTAGTGATTTAAACAAGTGTTAATGGCTATCAAGACGTCACAGTATCGTTAAAAAATTGAAAGGCATGTTGGGCGAATCGCCATTTTGTTTTTATATTGAAAGGAGTGACTGAAGTAGAAAATGGTACGTTTATATTACTTAAAGCCTGATGTAGAAAGATTCATCAGAATTCTTGGACACTAATTACTATCGTACATCGTTATATGACAGTATATCAAAATACGTTTTATTTTTTGCTAGACTACCCAAAGCCAATGTCGGACCAGTTCCTGTTGCTTCTAGCCCAGGCACTAACACCGAATCTCGACATCGCCAAACACTTAGATATACAGAAAACAGACATAGAACGTCTTAAGAAAGGAAATAGCTCGGATGAATTTAAGATGCTGAAAGTATGAATTTTATCTAACTTTCTACGTTTTATGTTATCGAACCATAGCATAAAAACGGAATGTACTTTGCGGTTTATGACAGAAATGAATTCTTATGGTTTGATTACAGTTGTAACGTTTTTGATATTCATAATTGATTATTAATTTTTAGACCTATCAAAAATGAAGTTACAAAAAGATGTTGATTTTTTATGTTATGGGGTGAAGACATAAACAAAATTGGCCAATGAAAATGTTTGTTTCGAAAAGGGTTAAATTAATCCTAATGACAGTAAAGGCTACGGTGTGAAATGAATTCTTGTGACAATTTGTTTTTGTTTTTTGTTGTTTTTTTTGTTGTCAGTTTCACGCTTTTTTAAGTTGTATTTTGTCAATAAGTTATTAGTCTTCTTAAACTCATGTATCTGTCATAATCATCGACTGAAATAAACATATTGAAGTAATCTATGCGATATGTTGTGCAGATTTTACTGGAAGGTCGAAATGGAGCTCAGAGCCACGTAGTAGCTTTACGGAAGTTACTGGACGCAATGATAACCCTTGAAATGAATATGGGAGTGAGGTGGACGATGGTAGCATCTCGACAATGGTAGGTGTATCGTCATAGATTGATGATGACATAACGCATATTATAGTGGGAACAAGTAAATTATTGATTTTATTATTAAATACTTATTTTCCTTAATAATCAAGGCACATTACCACTTTATCTCGATATGTCCTGACAGAGAAGTCAGGATTCTTTGATTCGGGGACTGGCATTTCAGAATCAGTATAATGATGACATGAACGTCATGATTGTTGCCGGTGAAATAAACAAAACTATTAGTTTGATAGAAAGCTAGAAGTCGTATAGAGATACATTAAAAAACATGAAGACAATCCCTCATACTTGTGAAATACATATGATATCAAACTGGAAACCATTAAATGTTCTCTACATATTAACAAATGTATTTTTATATTTCCAGGTTTGACATGAAAACTGAAATGAACACACAGTTCAAAGCTGAACTACAAGACATTTTGGAATCGTATGGATCCTTATTGGATAATAAATAATCGAACTCATTGTAATAGTATTTTAAAACTTACATCGCCAGACAAATGTTGGATTTGGTGGAAGTGATCTGACCGTAATAATATCTACGGATCACCGCTATTTAGTGACGTAGTGGAAACGCCTGTCTTAGGTGTTCAGTCACGAAGTCTACCCGTGATCATTATCTGTGATAATTTTTTCCAGTATTAAATACGAATCAAATACATTTTAACACAAATAATAGCATTTATAAAAAAAGATACTCAACACAAGTAATGCCAAAGGTTTAGGTTTTCTTCACTTTACGAACGTAAAGGACAGAACCACCAACTCATATTTTACTCTCTCTAATCTTGCCAGATCTCAAGTAGAACATTAAGGGACATAAGTCTGGGGTACTTCACAACAAATCTGGAAGTGATATTTTGGGGTGATAAAGTACCAATGAATTGCTCCTTCGTGTGATTGAAAGTGAAGTACGCTGCTATGGCTGAAAATGAAATGTTATACTGTTTATAGAATGAGGTTGGCAAACTTATTGAATGTTTTGTAAGGCCTTTATACATTAAGTGACTTCCATACAGCTTTATGATAAAGAACACATATTTAGTATGAAGATATTACTTATCTGTGTAAAAAGTTCCTTTTAGGTGAATCGTGTTGTGTTGGGACCTTGTCCACTGTACGTTTTGAGATAACATTAAATACGTGTTAAAACGAAAAGTGGTTCTATTAGACCGAAATTCTCTAAAACAAATTATCCTTTTATGACAATTATATGCACTGATTTGATCTGTTTTCCATTGGCTGTTTTAGAAACCCTAAACAACAAAAAATGTAGAAAAAACAAAATCAGTCTAAAAAATAATGAAAATCGTTCTAAAATAAATGTTTGTTTAAGAGGCAGAATATTGGGTTTACACGTCCTATATTTGTTTAAGTATTGTTGTTTTCACAGCAATATCAACAACGTAAATAACATATGTAATGTCACTATTTCACGAGACTAATGCTGACGGGCCTACATAAAACTACATTTGATGACCTGTCCTTTCTTCAGCTGGATTGGTAAATATTCAAGTCTATGTTGGTCCAAAGTGCTTTTTCTCTCAGCGAAAATTGCAATCAACTGTAGTGAATATGGTTCCATTGTTAAGTTTAGTGCCTTAAATAAAACGATTGATCTTGCAGGCACGAACTTTCAGCTTGTTATTTTTGTCTAACCAAACTGTATTTCAAAATAATTTAATGAGTGAAATAAAAAGATTGAACGAACATAAAGTTATCTCTGGCTTTTTAAAAGGGTTTATACACATACATAATGCACGTTTATTTAAACTATAGCAGTCATTTAGACTGGCTGTCAGCTCCTATGTTCAAGTAATATCTTGCTAAATCGTCCGGTCTTCTAGCTTATCTCTCCTTACTGTGAAACTTGGGTATCAGAGATGTCGAAGAGATCACAATTATGATTGGACCAATTTTTTTTTAAATTGATTAAATAATATAGATATAGCATTCAGTCTAGGATCAGGTCTACTGCAGAGATCAGAACTACTAGATTGATTTTTTTTGATAATGTAGTATTCTAGAGATAGGGGCCAGACTACCATTCATTTGATATGGTAAATAATATAATAAAGTTTAAGCTAGATTCATGATATAAGTTGTTAATAAGATAATATATCTTAAATTCACACGAAATCACATTCACTTATTGTCATTTCTTCTTTTTGTATCTACTCATAGAAATTAATGTGTGGGATGGTTGCTCTGTTGAAACGTCAATAACCTTAGAGAGGGTACAGTTAGAAGCAGCCAGAGTTGTAACTGGCCTATCCTCTGCTGCCTCTTGTGAGGCACTTTACTTTGAAACTGGTTGGATTCCTTTAAAGTTTAGAAGGGAACAATGTAAACTTTCTACTTTTTACAAGATACATAATCGATTAGTACCAGAGTATCTTTATAATTTGCTTCCTTTTAGAAGAAATGATCTTCATAGTGATTTTCGTAATCCAGGTAACTATCAGATACCACGCTTTAGATAAGATATTCTTAAAAATCTTTTATCTCTTCTTCAATTAACTTATGGAAGAAATCGATAATTCTGTGAAAAGTGCCCCATAAACTTTTACATTCAATACCAAACTATCAACATTATCACGTGTTTCACTAAATTGTCTTAACGTTGGTAACTGATACCTCTCTGTTCTTTTAGCATGAATTAGACAAAAATGTAATGGTCTTAAAAGTACCACGTAGGTATTTGTGTTTAACCTGAGCGTTAGTGTGGTGATGGTAATGAAGATTTAGTTTTTCTCTATTCAAAATTTTCTAATCCTCGAATAAGATTGTTTGATGCAAACATTGGTATTTATCCAGTCACCCTTTTTGAAACAAATAGTAACAAAGTACATGCTGTACGGTCATTTATAAAATCAAGTTCGAGGTTTGATACTAACTAGTGGACAGCGACTGTAACCAGAATCCCCGCCCATCCATCTTCCTGTCCCCTTTTGTCACCTCCCTCCCCACTCTTTCTTTCTCTTATTACTTTTTCATTTTAGGTAGTTTGTATATAAGTTTGACCTTTTTGCCATCATGTTATATCTTCAATAATGTCTTGTTGTCAGGAGAGGGACTAGCGATGACAGCCTGAACAAACGGACGACGGACAATGGGCGGTTTTAACAGGCCCTAAATTTGATGATGGTTGGCTTAAAATTAAGAATGTTCGGTGGATGAAAAAAAAGCAAACAAATAGTTTATTTCAATTCATACAAACTAATACTGCCATATTAATAGATCAATATTTTTAACGTTTTGGACGCAATAGTTCCTATTTATTTTTCAGTAAAATTATACTATATTGTGGTTGGTCTTTACATACTCTTTTCTGTATCCGGTGTTGCAAAAGAGGTCAAATGACTGGCTGTGTAGTTTTTAATGTGTTTTACATTGCAGTGACCAAGAAATGGTAGTTTTGTCAAATGTTGACGTTGAGATGTTCGAAACATACATCGTGTGGCATCAATCTGTTTATGGTTTTATTGCAAATGGTGTAAACGAATTGGGTGAAACATTTAAAATACATTTTAAAGACTACAAGTTGCCTATAAGCCAACCACTTACATTTTTTTCTATTTTCCGCCAAATGGTTGGTGAAACCGAAAGTACCATTGACAGCGCCACCTTCATTAAACCGAATCACTGATGAGAATCGAGGACTTATTCCTCTGCGAGAACATTCTTCGAAATATTTGTGATTTCGCTCTACATTTAAAATTTTGAATACATTTTGCCTGAAGCGCAATCGATTCATTAAGGCCAACTGCTATTGTTAAATAATTGATAGCCGAATGGCCCGAGTTGTTTTCCGAATGGAAATGTAGAGGGGAGACCACTCCAACATTGTGACGCGGAACTGACATTTTTGCAGGCTTTAGACATGGCAGGTCCGAAGACTGATTACCACTTAGCAGACTGGATGTCACATCTTCCCGAGAGTTGTGTACAGACACCACTAAACCTTCTAGCCATTCCGGGTATTATTTTTAAGCAATTTCCGACCCAGTCCTTTTGTTTTCACTTTATTGTCACTTACCAGGGAGCAGGAAAGTCACGTTTGTGATAACTTTTAACTTCAATGGATGCTCTACTGTACTGTAAAGTACCCTGATCAAGAGATTTTGGACCAAGGGTGTCGCAGTTTTCTCCAAACTATTTCACCAAGAGCTTTGTTTGCCGGTTTTGAAATAACTGAAGTCAGTAGCCTAGATGCATACAGTAGAAACCAAGAAAGGAAGATAAGTTTCTCAATTCAGTATTGGATCGGATTTTATGAATTGCTTCTATGAAAGTAGCTTGAAGGAAAGACGCCTTTTGCCCCTCTTACTAATGGCATCGAATCACAAAAAAAAAATCTCGTATTAAAGTTTGATAACAATATTACCCTGTGAGTCTTAGGGTTTGATACTTTTTTTCCAAAATATTGAAATCATTAAATATATATTTTGCCGTTTATTGTAGATACAAGTTATGTTTTTAGCAGAATTTGGGCCTGCTTAAGTAATACTGCAAAATCTGCAGTAGGTAAGATACATCTGACGTCTCTGTCGATAAAGTTTCACTCTATCCTAAAAGATACAAACATATTTCTATTGTATCAAGTTTGCATTCTAATTACTTCATCAAACATACAGCTGGTATGTGTATTTACCCGTATTGTAACCCATACATCTATACATGACTATACAATACTGAAAAGGTTTACACCTACATAATATACTGGTTGATGTATATAAGTATGCATCACATAGACTGGTATACAGTCTAAAGTGTGCATCCACAAACACATTTTTTCTTTTTTGTAATTTATGTATCATTTCTGTTGCATCAAACAATATGCAATACATACTGAATCAGATATGTTCAATGAATGATCTATGAATCCTTTTTATCTAGCATAGCAATAATGGGCACAAGATTTAAACAGGTGTAACAGGAAGGAGTAAATAAAAACACAATGCAACCACTGGGATTCCAACTAATGACCTTTCGGTATACTCTACAGCTCAACTAAAGGGAAATTCTCACAAGCCAAAACTTGTAAGGCAACCTGTACTCTCAACTCCTTCACAGGTTCAGATAGATTAGTTTATCAGTGAAATTGGATAATGACTGCTTAATGGTAAATGGGTAATATCCAGTTTGGTATGAATTAGTGTATACAGATAGGGTAGTCTGTTATAGTGATTCTGGCACACAGTTATAGATTTTTTTTCAATATAATAGCAGGCATACACATATTTCTGTTTCTGTTTCGGATCATCATCTGAAAAGGTAGGGATAAGGTTCAATACTTTTCAACAATATAATTTACTATCTTGTGTATAAAACATGTACCCATTACACCTCCAAAGTATCTCTGTCTACCCATCCCAGTAGCCCCACCTAGCATGGATAAATGCCCTTACAGTCAAAAGTTATGTGTTTAAATCCTATCTCCTGCGTCAACCTTATCCAGTGTATGTAACATATCTTTTCTGTATATAAAATGGCAGTAATGTATCAGTCATGTATCATGTATATTTCCCACTGTTTGATGTTTGGCACGTACTTTATGTCCCTTTGGAAGGATAACACAAAGAGTTGGAAAAGTCCAATGCCTTGGTGCTGGTTGATGTATCAGTAAAGGAATCCTGTTTTATGTCCCTTTGTTTTTCAAGTATAAGATGCTCATATAAATATGCCCAATAGACTTGTACCTGCAAAGTTGAAATTGAAGTTTTGTATTAAAAGAAATTCCTAACTATTGAAAACTATATTTAAAATATCTGAATGACTTGGAGTGATGATGGTAGCAGTGATTAACAGATCCCAAGAGAAGTATTACAATGATGTGTAATGTGAAGGATCGAGAACCTCGCTTCTGATCTTTTATAGCTGCATCATCGTAGCTTGGTGACAATTCATCTCGTGGGCTGATCTATCTCATGTGTATCTAGTTGTCTGGTTCATCACAGGTTGATCATGTTGGCTGATCCATCTCTGGTACAGGTAATCTTGTTAGATGACCCATCACAAGAATATCTTGTTGGCCAATCCATCAAATGTGTATCTAGTTTGTGTAGCCATCATTTTGAAAATGTCTCTAATTATCTTCTTCATATTGATTGGTGACTTTAAGAAATTTCAGTCAAGGACCGTGGTTGATCTTTATTAAAGTCCATATGCCATTAATGGAAAAGAAAGATATTGATATTAGATACAAATTAAAACCAGGGTGCACTTCAGTCAATGATTGATTCATTGATAATGAGTAAAGAATGTCATCAAAACAAGAAGACTGAAAACTGTCATGAAGAAGAAGAGAGAAAATTCAACATGAAATTAAAAGTTTCAAATTAATGAAAGTATGAAATTTTTTTGAAAGGTCAGGTTGCCACTGAGGTTGAAAATTTACCTTGAGACCTTTTATGTGCAGCTTGATATCCCGTGTTCTACTTCTAGATAATGGGTTTGTTTTAACTTTGTTTTTCCTTTTGCCAAGGATCCCATGACTCCTTCAGCTACTCCGTCACTCCAGCAGGAGATGTGGGGCCAGATGAACCACAGTGGATCCAGGATCTTATCCGTATGTTTGGTACAGCTGGTAAAGACATAATGTACCGATGGTCCGTCACCCAGAATCTCAATGTATCTCAACAGCTGGAACAAGGAATACGGTACCTCGACTGTCGTGTCTGCTGGTCATCAAAGACACAAGATTTCCATTTCCTGCATGGGCTGCTTGGGGCCAAAGTATCAGCTTGCTTAGATGATGTCAGTTCATTCTTAGAAAAGCATCCAAAAGAAGTGCTGATTTTGGATTTCAATCATTTTTACTGCATGTCCAATACAGATCATGTTAATCTTCTAACAATGCTGACAGACAAATTTGGGAGCAAGATGTGTCCTTATATAGACATGGAAAGTGTTACTCTGGATATGATGTGGGAGCACAATCTTCAGGTCCTCATTTTCTATCAGAATGATGTTGTCAAAGAACACCTGACCTTTTGGCCTGGCACAACAATCCGAGCACCCTGGGCAAACACTCCAAATATTCCAGACTTGATGTCTTTCTTGGATAACCAGTACAAGACAGGGAGAATAGACAATGTTTTTTATGTGTGGCAAGGTGTCCTCACACCTGGAGTGGCCACAGTTATTGCTAACTTTAGTAGTAGTCTTAAAGATACACTTGCAAAAAAATTGGCGCCTTTTTTTGTCAGCTGGCTTAAGGATAAGAAGACTGGAAGCCATGGAATCAGTATCTGTGGCATGGACTTCATAGAACTTGGTAACTATGTGTCTACCTTGATAGAGCTGAATTACAGTGCATGTTAAATTTCTTAACGTTTCAATCTGCATACATATTGTACATTGGGATTTATAAATTCAAATTCTTGGAACACTTGCTGCATTTAGGATTCATTTAATTAGTTACTTCTTTAAAAGTGGCTGCAAGGAAAAGACCTTTTAATCTTGAAAATATGCCATAGCATATGTCATTTTATAGGAAGGGTTTTAAAGTTTTTGTTTTTAGACTAACTCAATATTGGTCTATATTCAAAGTAGTAGTTGCATGCAAAGTGAGAAATTATTTAAATTTTTTTTTCTTTCCTGTTGTTTATTGGTTTGTAAACTACATTAGGTTATACAAATGATTTAAATGACATATGTTTTGTTTAAATATCTGTAAAAAAAATTTCAGTTCACACACCAGTAAACAAGAAAAAGGAATATTATTTCTTATATTTACATTTTGACAATTATATGTTAATTTACACTACTTTGAAAAATTATTAATCATCATTCATTGGATGTTAGACGCACTGATGGAACAGCCAGACCACTGATGGAACAGCCAGACCACTGATGGAATAGTGAAACAGCTGATTCCATTTTAGTGTGAAGGGTTGTCAGACTTGATGTCACGTTTACCTAAGTGTAAACATTCAATATTGTTGCTAAGGCCAAATGGAGAATACATACCGGAAATGTAAACAATAACATGAATTTGAACACTGATTGGAGAATATTAGTTTATTATTAAAAAGATACCTACTAAGTGAAATGGCCTTTAAAGGTATCAAACTTGACATTTTCAATGCTGTTATCTCCAATGGATCTGTGGCTTATCTTTGAAACCAGCATATTTTTAATGCTAAAGGCAATGAAATTCCTACAAAGCAACCAATGGTGATGAGACTATCTTATTTTAAGGTAACTAGACTCTGAAATTTTATGCAAACAACCCATGGTTTCTTTTCAAGACAATATGGTGTGGTAACTTGGTAAAGCATTTGTTGCTGCCGACTGACACAACAAGAGAAAGTCTGTTGGGGGTCACACCTTAGGTCCTCTGTTGAATGCTTTGCAATGGTAATTGTTATACTATGAAACGTTAAAGGTTATTTATATATATTTAGAATGCATTGTGGAGGTATATTAGGGACAGGAACTGTTAATTTTTTGAACAGTAATTGTTGTAATCATGTTGAATTGATCTGTGATAACCCTAGTTGAATCTCTTCATTCATTACACAAAGACTCTAGAAAAAGTACACAGAGAATAAAACCAGGTGTTCCGAAATGGTAAGTGTCTCTTGCTTCATTGACAACTTTACTTTTGAGTATATTAGAATAAGAGAAAATTATGTAGATTGATTTTTATTTATACTGGATTTTAAACAGAACCATTTTTACATTATTACATATACAATAATATTTTTCTGTGAAGTAATTTCCTTATCCAGAATACTGGTATTGATTTGTGGGTTTTTTAATGCAATAAAATGGCTGTAATTAATATTATTAATTCATTATAATTGTTGTTAGCTGAGCTTTCTTAATGCCATCAATATTGTGTAGTCCAAGACTCTACAAACATGCAGAAATATTCAATATTTAGTAAATATTTGGCAGAAATATTCAATTTTTTCTGAATACTTGGCAGAAATATTCAATATTTACCATATACTTGCCAGAAATATTCGATATTTTCCGAATACTTGCCACATAATGTTACATATACATGAAAGTAATAAGCTTGTCTGAATGTATGTTTTTTTTTTTTTTTTTTGTTTAAGTAGGCCTACTAAGGCTATTGATATGAAACTAAGAGAAACTTTACAAAGGTAGTATGTATGTTTTAATATTAATTATTTTTTTCACAAATGATAACCAGAAGAATTTTTTTTCTCTCTATTTGTGAGAAATGATATATTTATTGGTATTATGTTATATATGTACAGCTGTACTGTTATATGTATTCATATTTTATTGTAAAGGCTGTTTACATAGATTTTGTGATACTGATTCACTTTATGATGATATCAAAATACAGATTACAAGTACCTACAACCATCTTCTGCTATCACATGTACTTTATATATATACAGGTACATCATGTATGATATAGATACATAAATTGTACAAAGCTGGGGTTTGTTCCCTCTTTTGAGGGTTATCTGCTTGCTGAGTCAGTCCTTTTAGAATTCTACCTCATCAACTAATTTAAAAAATGCCTGGTTGATTGATAATAAGCCCAACCAACTGTTGCTATTTAAAAGAATCTGGTATCGAGCTCTGAAGCCCCGACTTTGATCCAGAATCACAGAACAAATTTTTTATACTTTTTTATTTATTTATTATTTATAGAACTTCACTCTTTAGTTTTGTTTTATTTTCGTTGTAAACTAATTAGGTTGTACAAGTATCTCGGTTACAGTCATAAGTTGAACTTGGGAGCTACAACACTTAGAAATTTTCAAGATAATGAACTAGTTTCATTGATTTGTCTCTCAAAATTTTTCTGATTTATTATTTTGTGGTGAGAAAAGGATTTTTTTTTATTTAGAAATTTTCAAGATAATGAACTAGTTTCATTGATTTGTCTCTCAAAATTTTTCTGATTTATTATTTTGTGGTGAGAAAAGGATTTTTTTTTATTCAATGTTTTAACATTCTGATAAACGCTTTGGTGAAGTAAGTATATTTCTCTGAATTTTCCTATGACAAAAGGAATTGTTTTTTATTTTAGTATTTCATTTTTGCTTAAATAACAATGGAAGTAGAAGATCATACATCAGAGTCAATGTTATATAATCAAACTTGATAAATAAGATCTCCTCATAAATATGTCCCAGTCTTTCAGCAAGACTAATATGATATTAATTCGTTCAATCATTTTACATTACAGTTTACCTACTGATCAGGTTAATAGAAACATGAATCATAAAACTTAACATTTTTTTATTAATTTTTCATTCATACACTAAAAATATATGTGTTCACAAATTTTCAAATGAAAGAACTGCCACCTATCAACAAATGTCATAGTAACTATAATATCTGATGATGTAAATAATGGGAACAGAGTATTTCTACCTCTAACAAGTGTTTACTGAGCTCGGAAGTTTAGTAAATAAGATATATTACCTCTAGTATCCTAATTTTAACATTAGAGACAATTTTGTTTTGCTTATTTGCTTTAAGTCCTATTAACAGTCACTGAAGGATGTGGCAGGTTTGGGCGGTGGAGGAAAGCTGAAGTTCCAGAAGCAAAACCCACCGACCTGCGGCCAGTACCTGACAATTGCCTGATGTAGGCTGTGACCTTGAGGTATAGGGCAAGTGATGAAGGTGTCTTGACGTCTTAACTACACAGCCACTGCAGCCTCCGTAGCAAATTATACATGGACCTTTTCCTTAAAGTTTAGAACACAGCTCTTTTATCGCATATTTATAAAATGTTACTAGTCATGTATCCCTTTGATATATTTGTCAGTAATATTTGTTGAAATTAATTATATGTATGGTAGGATTTTTTAAGAGTAGGAAATGTTGCTTACATGATACATTTATAACATACAGTCTTCTCTCCACTTCGTGCCCGAAAAGAAAACTCAAACCCGCAAATACTCATTTGCCGTACTAGCCCGTCACGAATTAGTGCAGTAGGCGTTTAATAATACATGGTGTAGAAAATACATTGTACGTACGAATCTCACTCCGACAGACGTGACGCAAACGTCCCTAACGCACACACTCCTCACCCACGAGAGCGTCCTAGACACTCCATACTCACCTCCCATCACAGAATGTATCGCGCGCCCAGGAAAAACCGGAGATAATCCCCGGAAACCTGTGTCCAACGGGGCTGGAATCGATTACCTCCAATTGCAATACGTTCTCCGGGCCGACACAAGGACCGGTGTCGAAAAAAAAAAAAAAAAATAATAAAAACAATCGTTCTACCGGAGCGCCGCTAACACAATATCAGCCAATCACACTCCCACTAAGCATACCCAGACTTCCAGATTTCCTCGCCAGGAATGCAAGCATAAAATAGCAAGACTAGAAAACGGAGCAAACCAACTACATATAATAATACTGATAGGCACACTAACTAACTAAATTAACTGGACTGCACTGCTAGACGGAGAGCTAGAGAATGACTATTCACCCGCGCACCCACCCTTACCTGGGCATACGCACGTGCTCTACGTGCCTGAGAAGACGAACTATTCCCGCTATACTACCGAAACGCGGGAATATTTAAGTCTTCTCTCCACTTCGTGCCCGAAAAGAAAACTCAAACCCGCAAATACTCATTTGCCGTACTAGCCCGTCACGAATTAGAGAATTAACAAAGAAAGGGCAAGGGGGTTGTGGTTGGGGAATACCTAACCGCCTTTGAATAATTGATCAAATAACCATATTAATTACAAACCTAACTTCTGTGTTACCAGTAAACGAGACTCCAAAGAGTCAGCGACATAACCATCCTTGCTAGATTCGCCTTTCCAGCGGCCATGCCTCCTGAAACATCGATCGTTCACTCCGTTGTTGGCGGCCACTGTGGCGCCCCCTGCTCTGAGCGAGTGTAAACCAAAATTTGTATCATTGGAAACTAGTTTCAACCTTTTCATGACAGCTTGCCTAGCCCCTGTGTAACTAAGTGGCTTATTTTTGTTAATAAGCTTACAACCCTGACCGGAACGATAAACTTGCTTAAACAAAAAATGATCCGAACTTAAGTCAATTTTTGATAACTCAACATACCTTGATAACATGGTGTACGGACAAGCTACAGTCGAACCTTTACTGATGACCACTTGACTACCAAAGCGATATTTGTCTGTTTTACTTTTCCTGATATTGAGCGTTAAATGCCCCTCGAAAAACTGAACATCAGAGCAACGCAAACTACTGAGCTCGTTAAAACGTAAAAAAAACCGGAAAACCCTAACAAAATCATGGCAAGATCTCTCACTACCAACAAGTCATTCTCATTCAAAAACATTCCACACAAATTGATCAAAATGTCAGTCGTGACCGGTTCCTTTTTGCAAACAGGATTTTTAGCCTCTCGTTTGGAAAATTCAATTAAGTTCTGTACGAATGAGTTTGTTGTAGGGTCGATGTGTCCGTTAAGATTGTGCACCCATTTGATAGCATATACTGCAGACGACACCACTGCGTAAGTCCCTCCCTTTTCCAATAAAGAATTTAAATATAATGCCACGTGTATGGGATTTGCCGGGATAGACGAAAAACCATGTCCGGAAATGAAATGTTCCCATTTCGCGAAAGCTCCATAGTACTTGGTGCCTGTGTTGACACTCCTGCTTAGTAAAAGTCTGCCAGCCATACCCTCGGTCAGAGCGTGCAGATCGGAACCCTCCGTTACC